AACACATGCTTATTCTGTGCATATGAATATGTTCACATGTATCACACACACTCTCACACCACACACACACACACACACAGATGCACCAACACAATGCATCTTTGCCATATTAAACATATTGCGAATTTTGTATATTTTATGCCGCCAAGAAACGTTTTCATATGCAGATAGCACAAGGGCGTACTACATTTGTTGTTGTTTTTGTTGTAATGGGGTCTTTTGTTGCAATTGGTGTTGCTGCTGTTCTTATTGTTGTTGCTGCCGTTGGTCCCATTGGAACGGTGCCAACAAGTGGTTTGACTTGGCAAAAACATTCCATTGCCATGGCGCGGCGGGTGGGTCTATGTTTGTGGTCATGACGCATACGCCGCCTTATCGCAGCTTTCAGCACAAACGCACGCACACATACTCGCATATTGCGGCGCAACAACAATATCAGAGCGCAAACAAATGACAAGTTAGCAAAAACTGAAAAGGTAACTTCAAAATGCCGCCAACTGTCAAACGAGTGTCACAAAAAGAACGGTAAATACACAGTTAAAGCTCTAGATGGTGTGTATACATACATACATATACATATACATATTTTACACATACATAAATATTTATGTGTATGTGTGTTTGTTTATGTAGGGAAAAGGGCGTACTGGCATGCTTTTAAGCAGAGCCAACATGGGCGTGCCTGGCTGAATCGCATACTAGCTATGACACATACATTTATAACCATACACACATGTGTGTATGTATGTGGACAGGTGGGTGTGTTAAGTGGATTCGGGGTTTGGCGACCAGGTGAGTGTATGTCATAGGCTACTTGTGATTTTGGGATAATGCACAACATGAAATGCGCAGCCAAAGCTGATTAAAATTCGTCATTCTTCCTCTTATTCTACACATACAACAGGCAGTGATAAATATGCGTATGCATGTATGTGTGACATGTTAAGCAACAATCAATTTCCAAGCCCTACATACATACAAACAAACAGAGACATACACACACACACAGATTTAAAAAGAACTGTTCCATATTTTTCAACTGAATCGAGTTCGTTTCTTAAATATCTTATTCCAATGATCAGTAGAAAATTTAGTATTAATCTCACAATCTGATTATTTAAATATATAGATCAAGTTTATACAACATTCTTTTGGACGCAAGTAAGGTCAAATCTACATCTGTGGCTTTGAAATATACAAAAATCGGACAATATATAGAGATCTGAGATCTGTACGATCTGCAGAGATTCTAGGTCTAAAGATGTTAAAGTCATAAAACTATAATCAATCACATTAAAATGAGAATAGCTATCAATATTTCGAAACAGACTACATATAATCCAGAGAATCCAGATATTGGTGGCTAAAGCGATCTGATCCGCCTCCTTCTGCCAATCACAATAATGATTAATGATAATAAAACCATTATAAACAGAATTCCCATTTACAATGGGGTTCAGGTTGTAATGATAGCTTTAGGTATTTATAGCTCTTAGTTATAAAGATCGATAGATCTTCGTAAAATGACATACTTTATAAGTCTACATTTCGCTTTAATTCAATATTATTAATCGGAACAGTCCTCATATATGCCAAGAGTGCTTTAACATACATATTAATGTATATGTATTACAATGTTTGCTAGTTACATATACACAAACATATACAAATACGACACACACCAATACTCCTTGACCAATACAATAACAACACTACTTTAAATAGAGAACTCACCAAATGCTTTGAATGTGTGTGTAGGTGTCTGTCTATGCATGTGTGTGTGTGTGTGTGTGTGTGATTGTGCATATGAATGAGTTTTGTAAATTTGTTCCAAGCCCAGTAAGGAGTTTCAAGTACGAGAGTAAAGCAGTTGGGGGGCTTTCAAAGGTGAAAAGAGATCTACTCTAATGGGTGTACTTATGCCCAGCATCATACACATACAGATCACTATATATATATAGATATATAGAGAGAGAGCTCTGTTCAGCCATCAATGGAATATCACACATATGTATAGATAAGTATGATAGATATGCATGTACATTAAAACTTAATCGAAGGAATTTAAATGGGATCGGGGGTTTGAGGTGGAGGTGTAGGTAGGTGGTAGGTGTGGCTAAAGCGATAATCATCAATAACACTCACTCCGCATCGGCCATACGAAATTGTATCATAGTTGCTCAAATACGATGAACTAGTCCGATATCCAGAATTGAGAACAGAGCCAGTTCCTCCGCTCAGATACAATGGAGATGCGATGCTATTCCGCTGTGTGCTGACGCGCGGCGTACTCGAATAGGTTGAATAGGAGCTGGGATAGTAGTTGCTCGCGCTGCTGCTGCTGTGATGATTGTAGGCGGATGTGGATGTGGATGAGGAGCCGGCTGCTGATGTACCCGAACCAGCTGACGAGGGCAGGTATTTGGATAGACTGCTGCCGCGATTATCGTAGTAGCTGCCGGAGTAGCGCGAGTAGCCGTTACTTGTGCCGCCGCCGCCGCCGCTGACGCTGCCGCTGCTTGTGCCGCTAGTGCTGGCCGAGCTGCCAGCGCCACTGGTCGACGTTGTGCCGTAGAGACTGCCACTGCCCGCTGCTGACGTTGACGATCTACGCGGCGAAATCACACGCATATTAGTGGCAGCAGCGTTCTACCGCTTCAATCGGACCAGTTTGCCGTTTTGATGAGCCGTTATGAATTCCAATTGTTGCTGTGGATGATGATGATGTTGTTGTTATTATCGTTGTTGTTGTTGCTGATATTATTGCGGTTGTTACTGCGGCTACTGCTGGATGGCTGGCGTTGTTACGGATTTGGCAGAGCGTTCTGTCCTTAGCTGTTGTTGTTGTTGTTATTGGTACTTCTTGCTTTTAATATAATTCTGTAATTGTTGCTCTGGTATTATTGCTGCAAGAGTGAGAGTGAAAGTAGATGCGTGAGTGAGATTAACTTTCAAAATGGCAACGCGCGGCGAGATGCACTCGCTCATTCGCTCACTCACTCACCTTGAATTTGGCTTGCAGTTGCTTTATCCTTTAGGTTTACTGATTATTTACAAAGCTTTTTTAATTGTTATTTATTTAATGTTGTTGCTTATGCTACATTAAAGACCCGTTACTGTTGCAGTGGAGAATAGGCAAACTGTAAATAAAGAAGAATTTATCAGAATTGACCTTCGAATAATACACAT